ATGCCCTGACTTTGGTCCACATTCGCGAGCATATCGTGATTGACGGACTCTTCCCCCACATGGATGTCATTGATGTCCGGAAGACCCAAATCGGCGCCTATTCTTATCGCCAAATCATTCAAGTCTTGCGAAGTAAACGCTAAGTCATTATCAGTAGACGAAGAGTTTTGACCTAAAAATATATTGTAATCACTTTTAGACATCAATTCAATCCACTGTTTAATCTATTTATATGTGTTTTTTCAATGCATTGAGACTTACTTTTAGAGTAAATCAAAATATTTTTATTCATTTCACGAAATGATAAAACTTTACAATAATTTTATGATAATTGCGGTGAAAAACAATCGCTTCTTAAACACAATTAACATTGGATTCAATGAACAGACAATTATAACAATTTCTTAACATAAATTGCAATTAAACTATTTTTCACATAAATAATACTATTTATCATTTAATACTGAATTTAAACACAAAAATCAATTGAAACTAAAATCATTAGACGATAGACTGGTTTTTGAATTACAAAACTAATTGATTACAAAATTTTTGCCAACAATTTGTTATTTGAAAATAATTATACATTTATTATCACACATTTGATTGTGTAATGAGTTGTTTTCATATGATATATCATTTTTTAATCAAAAACCCTTTCATTTCATTCATTCAATCCCTCAATAAATTAAATTTTCAAACAAATTATGAATACATTCAAAACACAAGCCTTTCTTCGCCCAAAAAAACTGCATTCATTTGAAATGTACACTAAATTTGTTATCAATTTCCACATCAAGTCATGAAATAGTGGTATAAAAAACTAAATACCATTTAATACATGCATTTTCTAAACCAATCTATCAATTGGTTTAATCGCTTAGGAATTCATTAAATTAATTACTTGTGGAAATAATTAGTCATTTTTCAAACACTTGTAAAGCGTTTGCAAATTCAATGCAAATTTGCAGCAATTATTTGGTGCGACAAAAATTGAGACCTAAAACCAGATTCAGTGATAATCTAGTGGTGAATATAACTATGGATCTAACAAAACGAGTCTTAACTGTAAAACAAATCAAAAATTTCAAAACACTTTTCGCATACAAACAACTCTCCTCTCAAACACCACAACAATCATCAAAACAAATCATTATTTTCTTAGTTATAAAGTTATGTAAACTATTGGCGCAAAACTATCGGCAAAACAACTCATACTAAACACAGTCTACTCTCCATATGATTCACAACTTCTTAAATGGGCTGAAAATGGGACTAAATTAACAACAAATGGTTTAAAAGTGTCTAAAACTCAATTAAAAACGATTACATAATTTATGTTTCAATGAGAGTGTGTGTGAGAGAGAGGGCATCCAAAACACACGCCAACAAACAAATCGCTGAGTCCTTGGATACAAATGCGGCCAACAGTTTGTTGACAATTGGCGCACAAAACGCATGGCTCGCGTCTACAACGACGAGTACAGGTGTGTACGGGTGTGTTGTGTGGGAGAGCGTCAATGGTTGCCATCTTTGTAGCGGAAATTTTCAAAACATATTCATTGGTTCATTCATTTGATCCCATATTCAACGCATACACACACAGACATACCATCACCGCACACACCCCTACACACACAAAGCGTCAATGGTTGCCATCTTTGTAGCGGAAATTTTCAAAACATATTCATTGGTTCATTCATTTGATCCCATATTCAACGCATACACACACAGACATACCATCACCGCACACACCCCTACACACACAGACACACTCATAGAGCAGTGGCGCACACGAGTAGACACACATATGACCGGCGGTCACAACGGGTCGTCCGCTGCGGCCGTCGGCGGCGGACAAGGCTTTGCGGCCGACGAGTGGTCACCAAAAGTGTCGATCGTTTGCCTGTTTTTTGCACTGCATTTTGTATCCATGTTTTGGCGGCGCGTTTGAGGGGTCGGGTCGGGGGCCGCGCTTTGACCGGTGCGGCCATTGGTTAGCATTAGTAGTGATGGTCTCTCACCTGATCTGTTGTTAATCAAAGCCATCGTCGGTTGCGTTGGTATGGCTTAAGACATACGAAGACGTATTGTGTTGTGAATTGAGTGAAAACGAGCGCACAATTGAAAATAGCGGCCAATACTACAACTCTCCAAACACTACCACTACTTCCACAACACTATTCAATACACACCACCCGTTATAATGCGCTCCCTTTCCAAACACTATACACGCGCTCTCACTCTCTGTATGAGTAGCGCTGGAGAGCACACCATTCCAGCGGCCAATCAGTGACACCCATTCACAGTGAGTACAGTCTGCGCACACTATTTGTGGCGATTATACGTTGCGATTGTATGGTTGCGGTCAACACGCGTTTTCACAATCAACTTATTTTCAACTTTTCATTCAATCACTACTTTTTTTTCGGTCAATGTTTTGGTTTCGGATTTGAGTTTTGTTTTCATGTTTTAGTCATTGATTTGGGCGTCAATTAAGCGGACAAATCGTTTTGGCCATTGAATCGGCGACAATATGTCGGCACAAATGCACAGACAAGCGCTTCAGCAGATCCTGCAGACGGGCGGCACTCCCAAAGAGCAGACCGACCGGTGAGTACCGCATCCCATGTCTTAAGACAATTGTCGTGTCTTTGATTGTCATTATCTGTCACTCACTTTGCAGTTATCGTTCATATCTGGAGAATGTGTTGAAGACAACCAACGAAGAGCTCGAAGACGGACTCAAGGCTTTCATTGAGACGAGTAATGAATCACTTAATGATTAAATGAGTGTTTTGTTAACAAACGTATCATTTGTTTGCCATTAAAAAACAGTTGTCAACGAAAACGTATCGCTTGTCATCTCTCGCCAACTGTTGACAGAAGTGTCGCAACACTTGGCATCGCTTCCGCCGGTCATATCGAAGAATATATCGCACTTTACGCTCGAGAAAGTGCACCCGAGGGTCGTCTCCTTCGAGGAACAGGTGTCAGCCATTCGACAACATTTGGCGCTCATCTACGAGTCGGAGAACAACTGGAAGGACGCGGCGCTGGTTTTGGTGGGCATTCCTCTGGAAACGGGACAAAAACAGTATTCAGTGGACTATAAGTTGGAGACATATCTGAAGATCGCGCGGCTATACCTGGAGGACGACGACCCGATACAGGCCGAGGCCTTCATCAACCGGGCGTCGCTATTACAGGCCGAGACCACTAACGAACAGTTACAGGTCATGCATAAAGTGTGTTACGCCCGAGTCCTCGACTACAGGCGTAAGTTCATTGAAGCCGCGCAGAGGTATAACGAGCTCTCCTATCGGACTATCATTCACGAAGACGAGCGCATGACTGCCCTCAAGAACGCCCTCATCTGCACTATACTGGCCTCAGCGGGTATGACATGTGCTGTGCGTTGTGTCCTATGATGTGTGTAATAATGATTTGTGTGCTTTCAGGTCAACAACGGTCCCGAATGTTGGCCACACTGTTTAAGGACGAGAGGTGTCAACAGTTGTCGACGTATAACATACTGGAGAAGATGTATTTGGACAGAATCATCAAGAGGTCAGAGTTGAACGACTTCTCGGCACTCCTGCAGCCGCACCAAAAGGCACAGACGTCTGTCGGCTCCTCAATACTGGACAGAGCTGTCATTGAGCACAACCTTCTGTCCGCCTCTAAACTCTATAATAACATAACTTTTGTCGAATTGGGAGCTCTTCTAGAGATCGAGTCGATCAAAGCCGAGAAGATTGCCTCACAGATGATAACTGAGGGCCGTATGAATGGTTTCATCGATCAGATCGCCGGAATCGTTCACTTCGAGACCCGCAATGTTTTGCCCAATTTTGATAAGCAAATTGAGAGCTTGTGTTTTCAAGTGAACAATATTATCGAAAAAGTGGGACAAACTGTTCCCGAATGGATGCAAAAAACTATCGATCAACAGTCCATTCAATAGATAGTTAAGCAATTTCTTGAACACTTGATCTTTAAATTCATTTCATATTTAATGAGAAACTAATGATTGTTTTTGTAATATTTGTAAAATATTTATAACTTTATTTCAGAAAATAAATGAAATTTAAGACAAATTACATTAAAAATAGAAAATTTTTTAGTAATGTTTCGAGTGTTTGATATTTTAAAAGTGTTGAAATGAATGGCACTCTAAATGGATGTGTCGTTACATTACTTCTTAATGGATGCCATGTCTTGAGACTTAGACTTGAGATAATTGAGGCAATCATAGCGGCCATAGACTAGTGCTTTGATTTTATTGTATTGTTGAACATCTTTTTCGCTCACTTTTTGTTTGAAACCGACTCTCTTGAGAAGAATGAGACCAACTCTCGGCACTTCGAATATATTGAAGGGAACGGCGAGTTCGCATCCGCCATGTATTTCGTATATAAGCCGTGCTGTCCAGTGATAGCACCAGAATTTGTCCTCTATTTTCTATGGGAAAGTATTGTGTGTTTTAATAGCTATTCAATTGGTTTTGTCGCCGCAAACCTCTGGGCCTTCAAATATTTCAAACACGAGGCCAATGAAGAAATTGATTACAATGAACACAAAAGTGGGATCAATATTGCCGAAGATATTGATGCCAAACGTTTGCTTAAAAGTGCTATCAATTTAAATCAAAGAGTTATAACATGTTTGAACTGAAATTTTACTGTAGTTTTTACTTGAAATTCGAGTTTCTGGCCATAGATTGGTTGAAAATGGGATAAAATATGCTAAACACACAAAATGAAAGCAAACAAATGCGAAACACTTTGTCTTTCTCTAAGCCCTTATACGCCCGCAAAGAGGAGAGGAATACGAGCCGAACGTATATAATCTTCACAATAAGTCTGAACAAAGCGTACGTGAATTCAGTGCACATCGGGATCTCCTGAGCGCCGAAATTGATGATATTGTTGAGCTTTTGCGGACTCTTAGACTCTATGATCTTTAGTGTCTTGTCGTCGCACAAGAGTTTGAAGAATAAGACGATTAACAGCGCGTTTGTGATGACGAGTTCAAACACATGGCCATAAAACCCCCATAACTTTCTCAGACCAAAAATAGCGCATTTCTTAACGATGTTAACGATATTACCGAATGTCCAGAAGAGCGTTAGGATTGTAACCGACAATTGGATCCGATTCTTCTCATTCGTTGGGTTTGTGTTCAAAAAGTAGATCAATATTGAGATGAATAGCGATTCGTTGAAGAGTCGGCAGAGATAGCGAGACTGAGCGGTGATGTGTTTGCGATATCCAGTGATGAACAACAAGCAAGTGATCGGTTGGCATAAAATGGTCACAAAACTTGAGGCAAACTTTTTGGCGATACCTCTGACGCCCGAATCAAACCACTCTTTATTGTTTCCTAACCACAGATGACTTCTTAGACTCTCGATCTGTTTGGAGGACACGAAGTTAATCCAGTTATTATCGACGGCGTTCTGGAGAACACTGTATTTGATAAAAGCGTTGGGTTTGTTCTGAACGCCCTTCTGCTCGACCAAAACCTTGACCTCTTCGGCATCTCTGGTCACGTCTATCACATCCTTCACGTAATTCTCCATAATTCTGAACATATCGTTGTAGTGATGAGAGTAATATTGACCACTCTTGACGACCGAACGACACTCCCTCTCGAGTTGGAAGGCTTTGTTGATCGGATCCGAAGAGTTGGACGCAATGTAAGCCGGATTACAAAGAGCTCTATAGATGTCGAGATTTCTTTGCGAAGGAGTGGACACTTGAGTCTCCGATACGTTACAGTCGTCGCACTCGCAGTCAGACATATGCGGTAACGGAATGCTGTGTCCCCTAAACATAAGCAGTTCCACCAGAACTCGATGGCCAGATATGGCGGCCAACATAAGTGGTGTCATATATGGGGCATACAGTCGTCGCACTCGCAGTCAGACATATGCGGTAACGGAATGCTGTGTCCCCTAAACATAAGCAGTTCCACCAGAACTCGATGGCCAGATATGGCGGCCAACATAAGTGGTGTCATATATGGGGCAAAAACAACCGAATTCTTAATGGGAAGCACTTCTTGTTTCTTTGGTAACCGAGAGATCATTAACTCAACGCAATCCACATTTCCAGCTCTGATGGCGTGTAAGTGTGAGTCCCGTATTTCCGCCCCTTTGCTCAACAGATATTCAATCACTTCAACAGATCCACAGTTTGCTGAACAGACACTTAGAGCCGTTAAACTGTGTTTTGTTGAATTCACGTCCACTTTGTTTTCCTTGAGTTGAAATGAAAGTTGTATTAAAAATGTGTGAAATATATTTCATTTTGTATTACATCTATAAGTGTCGTTAGATTCTTGAGATCACCGACGGCTGCATAACTAAAGAGGCGCTCAATTAATGATTCCTTTTCGTATTTCTTTAATTCTTCTTTCATTTTATTAAATAAAACTAATATCCGATGAGATTGTCGTTAACTCTTGAGTTTAATATTAGCAATAAATGGATACAAATTATCATTTCATAAAACAAATCGTTTGAAGTATTTTAATCTCAAACATTGTTATTAACGTGATTAAATTAAATTATATTTATTAATTATAGCTAATATTTTTAACAATATAATTAAATGATTCTCGAGAAAAAGAAAGAAAGAAAAAGAGAGAGAGAGAGAAAGAAAGAAAGAAACTCTCTCTCTCTCTCTCTCTGAGAGAGAGAGAGAGTATATGTTTGCGATTCTCGTGTATTCAAGAATGTATTTTTGATTTGTATAAAATATTTAAACAGTTTACAGGTTTTACATAATGGTTAACGTTTTGAGAGGGAATTGGATTAATTGATAGGAAATTGCAATGTTTTCAAATAAAATATTAAAATTTGGTTTTAATGTTAAGAAATATCAGACAATTATAAATTCAAGTGTTGTTCAAAATTATAACAAACAAATTGTGAGATATCTATCAGAAGAAAAGCCAAGATTGAAGTATTCATTGCCACCACTTATGGAAATACAACCGAAAGATATCGGACATCCATTCTTCACGCCATTCAAGATATTCTTATACTTAAAACCGTTTATCGATAATACTTTCACTTTTAATACATTTTTAATGGGAGCCAAACAAGTATTCAATAATTTCTAACATTTTTAGGCGATAATAATTTTTATTAATTTTGATTTAAAGGCAATTTTTGTCATTTCAAATGAATTATCCAGAGATAACATTGAAGGCATTATACCATTGGTTACAAATAAGGTATTAATTAAAAGTTGCATTGAATTATTGATTTATAAATTCTTATTTCAAAGGCTTATAATGAGATTTTTGATAATTATTTGAAATACAATTCCCAACAAAAACTAATGTTAAAAGTGATTGACGACGATATTGTTCATTGCTTTCCATATAGTATTCAAATCAAGAATATTTGTGAATATTTAGATTTAAAACACAAATGTTAACAAAATTATAATAAATTTACTATTTATTGTTGTTTAGCTCGGAATCGTAAAAGAGTTAAAATTATTGTAATCTTTGATGTTTTAAAGAATGCCAAAGAACTTGAATTTAAAATCAGATCTCAAATGAATGGCGAAAGTCTAAAAGTGTTTGATTTTAGAGCTAACAGGAAATTACTGGAACCCCTTCTCGACAACAAGTTTTTATGCAACACGCCATTCAAGATATTCTTATACTTAAAACCGTTTATCGATAATACTTTCACTTTTAATACATTTTTAATGGGAGCCAAACAAGTATTCAATAATTTCTAACATTTTTAGGCGATAATAATTTTTGTTGATTTTAATTTAAAGGCAATTTCTGTCATTTCAAATGAATTATCCAGAGATAACATCGAAGGCATTATACCATTGGTTACAAATAAGGTATTAATTGAAAGTTGCATTGAATTATTGATTTATAAATTCTTATTTCAAAGGCTTATAATGAGATTTTTGATAATTATTTGAAATACAATTCCCAACAAAAACTAATGTTAAAAGTGGTTGACGACGATATTGTTCATTGCTTTCCATATAGTATTCAAATCAAGAATATTCGTGAATATTTAGATTTAAAACACAAATGTTAACAAAATTATAATAAATTTACTGTTTATTGTTGTTTAGCTCAGAATCGTAAAAGAGTTAAAATTATTGTAATCTTTGATGTCTTAAAGAATGCCAAAGAACTTGAATTTAAAATCAGATCTCAAATGAATGGCGAAAGTCTAAAAGTGTTTGATTTTAGAGCTAACAGGAAATTACTGGAACCCCTTCTCGACAACAAGTTTTTATGCA